GAGCAAAGTAACATTTATGAAGGGGTTCAGGGAAACCGGCAGGCCGGACTTGAGTCCTGGAGATGGGAAGTACAGTGCCTGCACTCTGAAGGAGGGGTGTTAATATTGCAGTTTAAAAACTGTAATGTAAAGCACCCTTCTGGCAAGACAGTGATGGAGTGAATGATGGTGAAAGTTTTCTTTTTCGGGCCACCCTGCCTTGGTGGGAATCGGCCAGTGTGATAATAAAAAAAAATAATAAAAATTAAAAGGGTCGAACCATTTTTAAGGTGTGTAAGTGTCACAACAATATCGGAAAATTTTATCACAAAACTGCCCAATAATTAGGTAAACAAGTTTCTCAGTTTAAGAAAAATTTAAATAAAACAAGAAAAGAATTTAAGACTGTGCTGCAAATAAAATAACTGCTCTGACACTAATTTTATTGTATGACTATTAAGATTAGAATGTACACTAAATCAAGAATATAACTAAATGACCTAGCCCTGAGCAAATCTGACGATGATATAGCTATGCAAAAATAACAGTTAACAAGAGGCTGGGTTATAGCAGCAGCACTAGCATCTGATAAAGAATATGTTAAGGGTGATTAAAAATGGGACATTTCAACACATTTTTCTCCTACCTTCAGTAACACAACGAGACCAACCACCAGGAAGGGAATTTTGATACGTCATTTTTAACCGGAAAGTTTTAACCAAGTAAACCTGAGTTACCCAAACAGCATAAAAGGGAAGAGATGGAATGAATGAGAAACCCACACCCCAATTTTTTTTGTTTTTTTTGGACAACATTCAAGGGCTGTTTACAGAACTGTTTTCTTCCTTAACTTTCTAGTTTTATATATCCTTCCTAAATTTTTAAACATGAAATTTAAAGAAAAATTCTAATTTGGTGTATAATCAAATAATGATGAGTAAAGAGTCTGTTAATGAATAAGGCAATGCCTAGGTATCTATTATGAAGATGTGTCACCATCCAATGACTTTCAATTCAATGCAGTTTATGGTATAAACCTTGGTAATAAATACCGACAAGTTGGTTTAGAAAGACACGTAAGCAAACACTATGACATATTTATTAGAAAACGTTTCGGTCCTGGGACCTTGATCACTTCTAACATACAAAGGTAGAAAGAGGTAGAATGTCTTTCTACCTTTGTATGTTAGGAGTGATCAAGGTCCCAGGACCGAAACGTTTTCTAATAAATATGTCATAGTGTTTGCTTACGTGTCTTTCTAAACCAATGCAGTTTATAAATAGGAGACAATGAAAAATGAGGTAATCAGTCCCTCAGCCTTGGTAGAAAGTATTCAAAGGAGATGGTAGATGAGGCAATCAGTTTTGAAAGAAGTTGTACAGTTCAAGCTTGTGGACTACACCTTTCAAGGATACTGGTTACCTCTTCTTTTACTATCTCCAGTTTGAACATCATATACCAAAAACTGAGGGACTTATTACATCATCTGTTTCCAATTTATAAACTTTGCACTGAACTGAAAAAGTCATAATTGGAAAAGTGTTTTCAAAATAAAGATACCCAGGTATTGCACATGTCTTATTTATCTACTTGTTGGTATTGTACTGTACGTATATCATTGTAAGGTCCATTAATATCAACATCATCAGACAAGACTCTGCTATAAGATGTTAAATAATGTTTGCTTATATTTCACCTCTCTCTCACTTTTATTAGCACCAAGGAATCAACTATCAGGGGTCAACTAATTTTTATTTTCTCAAATAGTATGTCAGAACAAAGTCACATGCACAGTACTGGCAAAACTATTTGTTTTACTTTTGAACTATTAGTACCTAGATCAGCATACAAAAAGATACAAGTATAGTAATATGGAATCCTTTATTAATGACATTTCACCCACAGTGAACATTAGGTCACAGACAGAGGACTTTATGGCTTTATCAAGTCCAGTGTAGGGAAAGTATCAATAAAAAAATTCCATATAACTGCATTTGTCAATTTTCACCATTATTAGTATCTCACATTACTTTTCCATAGCAGAAAGGGAAGTGGGGGGTGGGGTTAAAAAATTTGTGAACCACAAATACACTGTTTTCATTTGCAACATTCAAAGGACTACTCAGTCTTCTTTTATTGCGCTGATTTGGGCAAGAGTAACATGAAAAATTATTTATAAACAAACTCAGGACCAAAGCAGTTACACTGCTCTGGTCTTTGAGATAAATTAAACAGTTTGTTTCCATTTGATTTTTTTCCAACATTCTAGATAAGAATATACTGGGAGTCTCCCTCTTTTGTTGTTCCTTACCGGTATTAAAAGGCACGAGATAAAGATTGGTGAGGTTAAAACACATTATTTTTATTTAACTTCTTATAACAGATACTTTATATCAAACAATTACTTTTGTATCCTGTAACTCTGGAAGAACAAGGTAAGGCATGATCACATGAAACATTCCTGGGCATAGCCAAGGCTAAGCTTTTCATAAGAAAATTAAAACAAAAGACATGGATGAAAACTAACAATCAAATGAACCACAAATATACATGAAATATTTTTCAACATACGAGTGATGAAATGTAATGATTTTGTAGTAATATAATACAAAAGTAGATATGACAGTTCTTCCATGCCATTTCACTGAAAGTTTAAAAGACCAAAGGCTAGAAGGTATCACCTGCAACTCAAGTAGATAATTACACATAGCAAAGCACACAGCAAAAGTAACATCAGTAGCAAAGGTTAAGCTAGCACATATAAAAATGACATTCATGAACCTAGACACATTAAAAAAATAAAAATAGCATCCATTTTATGATAAACTAAAAAAAAAATAGTTTTTCTTTCAATATAAATTACACTGCAGGTTTACTATAGATATTCTGATCTAATGGGAGAGGAAATCCAAGAGAACCCACATTATCATCATCTGTTGCAGGTAAATCTACAATAGTCAGTGCCAATCAAGACATCATACTTTAATGCCAAAGTGACCTGCTGGTCTACACAAGCAGTACTTGTCATGTTTTACACCAACCAGACTACCCATTTTTTATTTTATTTTTGGTCCGCTCCATCGTATGTAGTCCATCCAGTCAGATCCCACTCGTGGAATTACTGTCCCTGGATTATTCTGTTACTCTTGGATATTACTTACACATAATAAGTGTAAGAATATTGGGCAAGGCAAATTTCTGACCAAAAAAGAGCTATGATGAAATTCACTTAAAATTATGACTGTTAGAAAGTCTTGTTCATAATATAACACTTGCACATCAGTGACAAAGCATGTTCAAATAAGAGAGTCAACAGTGATGCCTCATATAGGTGATCTGGGAGTGTTGAGTGGAGTAATCCAGGTTTAAGCAAGAGGTTGATTTGATAGGTATCAAATGAGATATGGACTGTACAATACAAAAATATTGAAGAGCCAGCCTCAGCCAGTCACCAGACCACAGAAATATCCTGCCAAATTTAAATAAATGTTGAAAGTAAATTATCCTCTAGGTCAGATTCTGAAAACCATAATCTTGGAAGAGAATGCTGCAAGAATTTTTTTCCTTGAATTGCAAAAGTTTGACTCTGGCTTCAAAGCCACTAAGGGCAGGCAGACTCCTCAGTGTAAATACCATGAGGGACTAAGTGATGAAGTATGAGCTATCATACTATTCCAGGTCCATAATGGCTGTTTTTTGGAAATCCATTAAGATGCGGATCAATACAGGGAATGGTTTAAAAAAAAAATTTGTACCTAAAGTTGAGGAATCTTGTAAAATCAAACATGAAACTTAATAAAGCTCTTTTTTTTTTTTTTTAGCAGGCTCATATAATTTCCATACTGCAACACCTACACACGATTGCTATTGTCATAGGGTACGTTTAATGTATACTTCCTATACCTTTAGCCATACTGCATATTACTGGTCAAGTGCTGGAAGGAATGTATCACAACTTATTAAAAATATTGAAAAAGCAACTCATTAAAAATGCGTTGTGTGTTGCGCAATCATGAAATACATATTGTTAATACTCTTACCATAAAGACTGACTGGTCTCAATTTTGGCCTGTTAGCATCTTCCTAATTTTGAAGGGTCCTGTCTTAATTAAGAGAAAGCTGAAATTGCTAATTAATGACATGTACCAAAGGACTATGCAAAATGATCCCTAACACTATTGAGTAAGACATTGAGAAATGAGTGAAGTTTGAAAACATTCACTGACTTATATCTTGGATAAAATCTGGCCCAATGCTACTATGATGACTATGAAGAGAAAATAGTTGCTGAAATATGAATGTGATAACTGGTAAGAAACCAGTTGCTAAAAATACTAACACAATTGAAATATATACAGTACAGTATACTCAACTTTTATGAATTTACATTATGTAGATATCACCGACATGTATTACTAATGAAATTATGCAAAAGGGTATAGTAACAAATGCACTGACTACACACAGACATATCTGTATGAAGCAGTCTGCATAGCTGTCAATATACAAGACAGACCAAAACTCTCATTGGATGTTACTGAACCTGTATGGAAATATTTGACTAGCAATGTATCAGAAAGCTTAACACTTGTGTGTAATAAAAAATATATATTTTATATATATATATATATATATATTATATATATATATATATATATATATATATATATATATATATATATATATTTATTTATTGGACCCCCGCCTTACGATCAGCTTCCAACTCGACAATTATGTAAGTGTATTTTTGTAAGTGCTTTTGTATGTGTATTTTTGGGGGTCTGAAACGGACTAATCTAATTTACAATATTCCTTATGGGAACAAATTCGTTCGGTAACGGCACCCGAACAGACTTCTGGAATGAATTAATATCCTAAGTCGGAGGTCCACTGTGTATATATATACGTATATATATATATATATATATATATAATTATATATATATATATATATATATATATATATATATATATACATATATACACAATTATATGACACAACAACAATACATAAACATTATGGAAGAAGTCAATCTGTAATATGAAAATGAATTTAGATTGAATTTCATGTTACTCCAAACAAAACCTAGAGAAATATTCAGATCACTCTTACTCTATTAAATGCAACCTACAGAAATTCCTGTCTTTCAGATTCCAACTATTTTTGCTCTCTTTTAAGTCTTAATGCAAATTTCCAATAGAAAAATGAAAAAGACTATAAAAACACGAGCAGATTGACCAACTCCCCAAACTTAAAATAAGTATGATTGTTTTCATAATTTTCAACTTCACCCACCTTCCCATTCAGAATGAGCCTTGAAGACAAAGCCTGCAAAGAATATTATTTTTGTGTATGGATTGGTCCCCTAAACATTTTAGTCCCTATTAATATACATTTAAATATTGTGATAGGCAAGTCCATGTATCAGTCACATTACCAGTTGGCAAATTATCATTTCACTTATATGGAAACTTTACTATTGATTATTATTGCTATAATTATGAGAGCTTTAAATGAGCAGCAAAAAAATTACTAAAGTAACCTCAGAATTATATAACAGTCTTAAAACACCATAATAATACTGGACAGGAACCAGACTGAACAAAATTTTCTTCAAAATTCAGCAAATTACAGTAGATACAATTATCATATCAATTTAAGCCAACTATCATATCACTGTAAAACCAACTTGGTTAAATTCACCCTGTATGGCCTCAGTCCACTTTACTGCAAACATGATTGTATCTTCTCAATCCATTCTTGTGCAGCTTGCCCGTCTGAAGCACAGAAATTATAGAGACGACGTTTTGTTTGGAGCTGTGAACAATTTAATAAAATTAGTATTCAATAGTACAATTGTCTTTATATTGTTTTTACATAAAGCTATGCCCCAGTTAAAACAAATACAAATGAAAATGGTTGTCCTGAAAGACAGATAATAAAAATGAACTATCTAACTCATATAAGGAATGAAAATAATTCAGCTAATGCTTGATTATTAAATACAGTATTACAGTGGAAACTTGGCTTATGAATGCCCCACTGTGCGAATTTTTCAGGATATGAACCATCATTCGGTCGATTTTTTGCTTCTGGATACGAATGAAATTTCAGGATGCGAACTTTCCCCTCGAGGGAGGTTCCTTAAATAAATAAATATTTATTTCTTTGCAAAGGTTACAATGTGTGTTTACATAATACGATTGGAGCAAAGAAAGCTGCTATCATGCCAAGGCATTTCGGGCAGACTTAACCTAATACATACTAATAGACTACTTAAGTCTAGATCGGTGAAAAGTGTACTAGTAGTGGTTGCCAATGCTTTGCTGATGGTGGTGCCAACTACTGGCAGCCTTTTGAAGTTTCTCCTTACTGTTATTATTACTATTGTATTATTATTATTGTTATAATAATAATAATTATTATTAGTAGTAGTAATTGTAGTAGTAGTAGTAGTTGTATGTATGTATGTGATCTAGGGAATTGGATCTGTGCTCCAGGTCTCTAATAATAATAATAATAATAATAAATAATATAGGTAGTAGGTTGGTAGACAGCAACCGCCCAGGGAGGTACTACCGTCCTGCCAAGTGAGTGTAAAACGGAAACCTGTAATTGTTTTACATGATGGTAGGATTGCTGGTGTCTTCTTTCTGTCTCATAAACATGCAAGATTTCAGGTATATCTTGCTACTTACTTACACTTAGTCACACTACACATCATGTACAGATATATACACACCCCTCTGGGTTTTCTTCTATTTTCTTTCTAGTTTTTTTCTTGTTTATTTCCCCTTATCTCCTGGGAAGGGGAAACAGAATTCTTCCTCCGAAAGCCAGCGTTTGTAAGAGACGACTAAAATCCGGGAGAAAGGGGGCTATAACCCCTTTCCTTTTAAAATTTTTACTAAATGAAAAAGGAGAAATTCTTTTTTTCCTTTTTTGGGCCACCCCTGCCTCGGGGGGATCCGGCAGGGTATAAAAAGAAAGAATTTTTATAAAATAATACACAATAAAAAAATAAAAAAAATACATAATAAAAACAAATAAATAGAAAACAAACATATAATAATAAAATAAAAAAATAATATAATAACAATGATCATAATGTACAATAATAATACTTAATTATAATACTATGTACGTACTTTTGTAAATTTAGTTTGAAAACACCACCACAATGCTCACCATGCACTGTGCTTACGGAGCTCCCTCACGGTGCAAGGAATTCTCGTGATTCCTTTGTTTTGCTTTTAAATTCGCCAATTTTCCCCTTCTTCTAACCCCCCATAAGTCCAAAAAGCAAGTGCAAAGGACAGTGCCGAGAAAAAAAAGAGGATGTTTTGCAAAAAATTAAAGCAAGAAATAATAAAGCCAACAAGGCGGGGGTTAGGATTTGGTGAGTACAAGAGTACCCCCCTTATTATTACCTGGGTTTAGCGTTTTCCCCATGATTATAATAATTAACTCTACATGACAATACAAAAGCAGGAGGATCTATAAAACTATGGCCAGAAAAGGGGGTTTTGTCAATGAAAAGTGGTAAAGCTGCTTTTGACTGGTTGATGGGGGGAAAAAAACTCACAGGAAACGTTGTGTAGTGAAAAACAAAAATTAACATAGCAGTCTTAATGTGAACCCGACAGGATATGCCGCTCTGCATTTCTTCTCCAAGGTATGTAAATTCATATGTAAAACCCGATCTCATTCAGTTACCCCACAAACTCCGTTTTCTCTTATAACACCTCTGACGTTTTCATAGCTAGAATGTTCGACCACAATCCTTCTTCCTCTGCTGCCCACATAATGACATTTTTATTCATTCTTGAGTGTATATCAGGTTTCTATGTTGTGTATATTGTTTTTTTAGTCATTAATGAAACCCTACCCGATAAACCATAGAGTTGATTTTTTTTTTTTTTTTTTTTTTTCAACAAGTCGGCCGTCTCCCACCGAGGCAGGGTGACCCAAAAAAGAAAGAAAATCCCCAAAAAGAAAATACTTTCATAAACATTCAACACTTTCACCACACTCGCACATTTTCACTGTTTTTGCAGAGGGTGCCGAAAAACAACATCTAAAGCATAAACATATAAAGATACACAAACCCCTATCCCCCAAACTGCCAAAACCCAAAAACCCCCCCCCCTTTAAAGTGCAGGCATTGTACTTTCCCCTTTCCGGGCTCAAGTCCCACATATGAAAAAAACCGGTTTTTTCCGAATTTCCCCTTTACTAAAATTACCCTGCTCACACTCCAAAAGTCGTCAGGTCCCCCAATACCTTGCTCCATTCACTCCTACTAAAACGCTCACGCACGCTTGCGGAAGTCCAAGCCCCTTAACCCCCAAAACCCCCTTTACCCCCCCTCTCCAACCCTTTCGAGGACGACCCCTACCCCCCTTTCCCTTCCCAAATAGTTTTTATACTTCCATGTCATTTACTGTGATCCATTCTTCTAAAGACCAAACCCCCAACAACCCCTCTTCTCCCCTCGACTAATACTTTTTTAAAACCCAAACTTCTCCTATTTCCACCCCGAATTTTCGCTTTAAAATTTACCCACACATTGCCCTTAAAACGGCTCTCCGCGCTCCAACCGTCCCCTCGCTGCGGGCATTTCCCACCCAAGCTTCACCCCCATATAAGAGTGTTGGTACTACTATATTTTTCATACATTCCCTTCTTTGCCTCCATAGATACGTTTTTTGCCTCCAAAATACCCCAAAAGCACCTCCCTTTTTTCCCCCATCAAATTTTATGATTAAACCCCTCCTTCATAAATCCATCTGCCGACAAAATCAACTCCCAAGTACTGAAAACATTTCCTTTTTCCATACTCCCCCCCCCAATTTGATATCCAAATTTTTTTTTATCTAATAATTTTACACCCCTCACCTTATCTTTTCTATGTTCATTTCAAATTTCTACCTTTACAACTTCCCAAACTCATCCCCTAAAACCTTTTCAATTTTTCTTTAGAATCTCCCCTAGCACGTATCATCAGCAAAAAGTAACGTTCAATTCCCATTTTGAATTTGATTCCCCCTAAAATTTAAACCCACCCTCTCCCAAACCCCTACATTTACTTCCCCTTTTCAACCCCCTCTTTAAATAATTTTAAAAACATGGGGGAAAACAATCCTTTAAACCCTTTTTTGGGGAAATAGTCTCCCTTTTCTCACACCCCAACCGAGCCCACTATCCTCATAAAAACTCTTTCGATTTTAATAACTTACCACCCATTTCCAAAACTTGCAACATCTGCCCCATTGTCCTCTTCCACTTATCATATGCCTTTTCTAAATCCATAATGCAATAAAAACTTCCCTATCTTTATCTAAAATGTTCACATATAGCTTCATGTAAACACCTGATTTCCCAAAACCCTACCCCCTCTAAAACCTCCTTGCTCTCCGCAAACCTACATTCTGTCTTACCTCTAAAATTTTTTCAATTATAACCCACCGTACACTTTTCCCGGTTACTCTAAACTTATTCCTCTATAATTTTTACGTCTCTTTTGTCCCTTTCCCCTTTTTATAAAGGGTTATAAAATGCTCTCTGCCAATCCCTAGGTACCTTCCCCCCTTTCTACTTTATTAAACAAAAGTCCAACCACTCCAACATATTCCCCCCCCGCTTTTAACATTTTTGTCATGATCCCTCAGTTCCAGCTGCTTTACCCCTTTTTATTTTTCGTAATGCCTCACGTACTCCCCCAATTACATTTCTCTCTTCCTCCCAAAAGATGGTTTCCCCCCTGACCCGTGCATGAAATTACTGCCTGTTTCTTCCTTAAATTTAAAAATTCCCCAAAATATTTCGCCATTTCCCTACCTCCATCTCCCCATTACTAACTCCCCTACTCTGTTTTAATACAAATCCATATTTTCCTAGGTTTTTTTAACTTGTTTAACTCCTCCAAAATTTTTTCTTATTTTTCATTAAATTTCTGCAGTGCCTTCCCCCTCTATCACTGCTCCCTTTTTGCACTCTCTCACCACTTTTTTTACCTTTCTTTTACTCCCCAATACTCTGCCTTCTTATAACACTTCTGCTTTGTAAAAACCTCCATAAGTCCTTTTTTCTCTTTTATCACCCCCTTTTACTTATCATTCCCCCAATCATCCTCTTTCCTCCTGCCCCCACCCCCTATAACCACAAACTTCTGCCCCCCATTTTTACTGCATTTTTAAAAACTTTTCCCAAACCCCTCTTCCCCCCCCCACTACTCATTTTTTGCCTACCCCACCTTTCTGCCAATAGCGTTTATACTCACCCAAACTTCCCCCTCCCTTATTTTTTAACACTTTCCCCTCCTCTTACTTGTTTTGCCACCTTCCTCTTTTCCCATCTCCTCTTACTCTAACTGTAGCAAAAACTAAAAATGACCGATTATATTGCCCCTTATAAACAGACACCCTGGGCCTACCCATAACCTTTTACCCACCAATCATAATCTATAAACTATTTCATTACGGTACTCATCCTTGTAATTTATTTACCCTTTTTTTCAAAAAATTTATGTATTATTTATACCAAAATTTTTTTCAAACCCATAGTCTTTTTAAAGGCCCCCCTTTTTAAAATTTACCCCTGGCCCCCAAAATTTACCTACTACTCCCTCCAAAAATTTTTTACCATTTTAATTAAAAATCCCCAACCCCATTACTCCCCCACTTGTTAAAAACCCCCCAGCATTCATCAACATTCCCAAAACTCTCTCTCTCCTCTAAACTTCTCTTTTCCGGGCTACCCGCTTATTTAACCCACTTTTCACACCCAATCTTTATTTTACCCCCAAAAACCTTTGA